GCAGGTATGAAATGGTAGCATTTGATTTTTTTTTTCAAGGTTCCCACTGGAATGATCTTGGAGCTATAGTGTCTACATAATTGAAATTGCCCTTTTGATCATATATGGGAATAGAAAGCTAATTGATGATATATTTTTAATTCTGCCTTCCCCAAGGCATACGGATAAACTACAGACTTCATTAGCTTTTGTCTTTAATAGACTGGCATTAAAGCCTTTGTCTCCAAAACTTGGAGGATTGGAGACAGGCATCCCAGGGTATATGCTTCCAGCTGGATCACCTTTAACTCACTTACAGAAAGACCCTTACACAAATACTTTTCATTTGTGAGTTAAAACAGGGTTTTTTTGACATCTAATAAAGCTTCTTTTGGAAGAAGTTTCTTTTATATTGTACCAATCGGTGGTGTTAGACTATGTGTTTTATGAATTGATCAATGAGCCATACCTTTTTGCTAGGATGTATATTTTAATAACTACAAAAAAGAAAAGAGTTTAAAAAACTATTAAGGGTCTGTCTTTAAACCACCTAATAGAGGAATTTAAAAGTGAAGGTTGCAATTGCTAGATTTTGCCTTGGCCACCTTCAGATTCCCACAATACCTGTACATAATAAACTGCATGCTTTTCCATTTTCTAAGGGCTTAACTTCTTAGGCACTGTAAAATGATAAGAACACAGTAATAGCCATAACTGGATTTCTTTGGTTCTCTTGTTTTAAAATCTGAGCCTTAATGTAGTTTTAATATATCCTTTTTATATTATTTTAGTTTTCTTTATTAGTAGCCTAATAAAGAAGATTTTAAAATGAGTATCTTTAGCTTTTCTCTATGTGTGTTTTAAAAAATAGTCCCAATTTAATTGATATTGTATTGAGTTTTTCAGGTTTATTTTAGGCCTGATTTAATAACAGTGCATTGTTTTGGTGCCTCCGTTAATATTGTATTAAATCAAAGGTCTCTTAAATTGATTGATATGTCAATGGGTTACACCTGATTTTCTGTGATCATGGAACGGTTAAGTCTTTGCCGTTATTGTCACTATATCAACCAAATTTTAAATGACTTTTTTATTGTGTATTATTATATTCAACATCCCAGATATAACAATATTTGTATTTTCACCATTGTATTAGTATTCTCAGAATGCGACAAATCAGGGACTTGGGTAATAAAATGTTTCTGGAAAATTCATTACAATGTCAATCTTTCATTACACACAGTCCTGCTGAGATGAATGTGATCGTGAAAATTTCTTATTATATGTGGAACGTGAGAGTTAGTGTAGAAGGAATACCCGTTTCAGAGAAAGTACAGAAAACATTTTCAAATAGAGAATAAAGAAAGAAAGGAGGAAAGGAAGGAAAATTGAGTTAACTCGGCTCTTTCTGTTTGCATAATTAAATATTTTGAGAGTCCTTGCCAGTTTTGTAACAGAGACCAATAATCATTCATGAAAACTTTGTAAGTTAGATTTGAAGGAACATCATGTTGTTCCCTTACATTTTTACTTGTCATTCAGGTTGATTTCAATGTGAAAATGTTTTGTAAACAAATTCTTAATTCTTATGCTGCACATTAGCCCAGCTTCAAAGTTAAAAAGCCGAGCTGTGAAACTCTTACTTACTTCTAAACTGGTATCAGTAATTGACGTAAATAAAGGAGAGGTATTGATTGTTGCTAACCTCTGTTGTCCTAATGAGTTTTTCATGACATAGCTTGATGATAGGCCTATAGCAAAAACTTACTATGCTAATGGATTTATTTTATTTATATTTAAAAGAATTCAAGCTCTGTGGTCTTGAACCTCAGTTCTCAGATTATTAATTATAGGTTATTTAATTGTATTAGGGAAATGTCATGTTATATTTACTTTTGGATAAATCTTGCATTAGATGCTTAATAATTAAGTTTCTAAAAATGTTAATTTGTCCTTGTTTAGAAGTTAAGCACCTTATCAGAATATTAATTTCACGTTCTAAAGTCTTGTTTTATAACTTTGTAACTCAAGAGTGATGGATGCTGTAGTGATGTCTCTCACATATGTGAAGATGAACAATAAAATTGTTTATTTACAAGTAATGGCTCTAATTACTTTCCTGGCAACACCTTTTATAATCAGTTTAGGAATACCTTTCACTACGGGCACTTTGTCAAATGATTAATCCTCATTAATACACATATGCAATGACTAAATTCAGGAATAAGAATGATGACAATTGAATAAATGGTACACTTGACCCCCCCCCCAGGCCTTTTATGTGGTCTGTCCAACATACCCTCTGTAGAGCAGTTTAAGGTGCCCTACCTAATGCCAAATATACCCTTTTCCCCACCAAAATTTGAGTGTTCTTGTATTTTAGAGGGAACAGAATTATTTATGCTTTTGGTCCCAGACAATAATCTGTCATATCCCAGGGAACTGCAGACCTACTGACCTGATGGTCATCCCTTACCAAAAAATATGGCATTGAAAAGGTTTCTTGGGAACAAGCATATTGTTCATGGTGCTAACAGTTTGACTCTTTGTAGAAGCCTATGATAGTATAGATTTGAGAAATTTGATTTATTTCATGCTCTCAGATATCAGAAAGAGATACATCGTAGGCATTTCAGCACCATAGATTACAAATCCATCCTATGTGGCTATTCTCTGTTGTCTTTGAACAGTGGACACATTGATACATATTTTTACATGTAGGAAATTTACTGCCAAATGAGTAAAAATATTCCTTATGAAAGAACTGACAAAGTTCTAATTTTTTTTTAAAAGTATCAGTTGGCAGGAAGAAGGTAAAAACTCTCATCTAAGAATGCGACGTATTTTGTTTTTAAATCCAATGTTTTTAACTTACACTTTATCTCTTTGGTTTTTTTTGTTGTTGTTGTTGTTGCTTGTTCTGTATTGTTTTTTAGTCTTTTAACTCTATATTGCTGGTGGCTCTGATTTCATGATGCATCATGCTTATGAAACTAGCTTTCAGCACTAAGATGAGTTAAAGATAATGTTTTGTTAATTTGGTCATTGTTTTCCTGTGGGGAGCTTTCTTTAAAGGGAAACTGTCTACATAGATTTCTACATTCAACTTGATAGAGAGAATTATTTTGCAAGAAAACATCTGAAAGCCAAAAGCTTAAATATATTCCTCTAATGCTCTAAAACATGAAAGTACTGTTTTAAAAAATAATTGTTTATGTCATTGACAGTTATGGTTCCAAAGTAGGCATATTTCAATTCATTACTGAAAACATTTGTCTAGAAAGATGACATATTATGAAAATATTGTGACAATTATACTAAAAAAGCCAAATTTAGACTGAAAGTTGACAGCATCCCTTTAAAGACAGCCTATTCAACTTTTAGTTAATAATTTGTGGGGTTCTTTTTGGTTTTTCATTTGTAATAGAAATGTTACATGTTGCTTAACAATGTTTTGGGATACTAAAGTTGCTTAACAGTCAAAATAGAATACAAGAACAAAAATGAAGAAACCAAAATAAAAATATCAATTTTTTATTATTTATTCAGGCGATTTCACCTAAACCTCAAAGTCAGAAAAAAAATGAAGCTGACATTAGCAGTTCTGCCAACACTCAGAAACCTGCACTGTTATCCTCAACTTTGTCTTCAGGGAAGGCTCGCAGCAAGAAATCCAAACATGAATCTGGAGATTCTTCTGGGTGTATAAAACCCCCTAAATCACCACTTTCCCCAGAATTAATACAAGTCGAGGATTTGACGCTTGTATCTCAGCTTTCTTCTTCAGTGATAAATAAAACTAGTGAGCACAGATTTTTAAAAAATAGTTACTTATCCTATAAGATACATTAAGCAGTTTGATTGTAGTTATATTGTGTTTTGATAAAGTTGCTATTTAAAAACTCAAACTTAGGTGGATATGATAGAGCAGGCTTGAAAGTATTTCAGGGGCAAAACCATAGACATTTCTTACTAATTTACTGTTCAGCTGGTTGAGAAACACAAATTCCCCTGTAGTGTTAACTCTCTTCAACTCATACTCCAAAGACGAGAGGCCTGATTCATTACAAAAAAAAAAAATAGAGAGCCAAAGTAGATATTTTTACTTAGTGCCTAAAACTCCTCCTCTAAGGATAGATTTAGTGTTGCCACTTGTCTGTAATCACCCTTGGCAGTACATCTTGCTCATTATTTCCAAATAATTACAGTGCAGACTTCAGTTTAATCTTATTAATGAAAGAAGAATACCTTCTTAATCATACTTTAAAAGATTGTACTATTTCAGGACTACTAATTTTTCAAGAGTTAACTTGGTCTTCTCTAAAAATAGCCTTTCAGCATGAATTTGGAAATACATGTATACATTTTATATATATATATATATATATAATACTATATATAATACACACACACACACATACACACGTACTCTCTTTTCTCTCTCTCTCTCTCACACACACACACACACATGAGAAGGTTTAAATGACCTTGAGTCTCTCATGTTAGTTTAGTGTGTAAGTTAGGCATATATGAGAAATAGTTACCCTAGAAAGTCACTGGGTAAATATACTTTTCTCCTGCTCTTTGCACAACAAATGAATTGGTAACATGATCAGTAGATGAATATGACACATTTCCTTATGAACTATTTCATACTGTATCTTCCAGAATAAAGATGTGGAGACTTGTATCAAACATAGTAACTTCTCTTCCATTCAATTCCCATATTTATATTTTTAAAATTTTTGATCAGGTTTTGTTTTATTCTTTTTAAAATTAAAAATGAGTAGAAAAGATAACAGGAAAACTCAATTATTTCCTTATCAGCTTTCTTTTATTAATGGCATTTATCATTAGTGATCACTAGAATGTCATATGCCATTGATAAGCATTTTATTTTGAAATTGTTTTTATATCTTGGTATTATAACCATAGTATTACAGCAATTGAATTTTATTCTTTCTATTTTTTTCCAGTTACTACCAGGTCATCTTAATTATTGTAAAATTACTCTTACATACCCACAGCATCGAACTCTTCGGACCACTCTTAACTTCTCTTTCTAAATTACGGGACTATATTGGCTCCTGTAATCCTGCATTTCCAGAATAGTCCACCATGTTTCTATGCCATGTAGAAAGAAAAATCTAAAAGTTAAAAACAAGACAGATTTCTAAACATTTGTGTTATATTGTTAGAAGACTGCTTAAATGGTACCCAATTAGTTATAAAGTACACACGTGGACAAGAATAGTGTCATACTCTTAAAAATCTCTATTATTTACCCACAATAAGTACATAAAATTGTTTGTATTCAGCTTTTTTTTTTTTTTTTTAATGAATCAGGCCCAGACATTGTTTATAAAAATCCATTTGGGGGGATGAGGATGGCATAAAATTACTTAAATTAGTTTTACTTTGGCAAATAAAATAAAGCAAAGCACTAACTCTATGATGTTTGTCAGATTTTTGTCACCTCTGCCCCCTGCCAGTTTTTTTCACCTTTTCAGATTTATAATGCAGCAAGAGAGATGTGTGTATATATGTATTTTTTCTTTTGCTGAAAAGACTTTCCCCGAAGAGTGAAAAAAGGCAATTTACACAATAATCTGTAATTAGAGAATTACCTCTAGTCTGTCACTTGGGGGAGCAACTTGAAATTAATGTTCCATGTTATTTTCTTCTAGTTCTAGTAGATTTTAGATTTTAGAATTTTTGTTTAACTCTTTTTGTGAGTGAGGGCACAATTTTTGCCTTTGATACCTTTGGAACGTGCCATTTCTTGTGGATATCTTATAACATCAGAGGGCAGGATGTGAATCATTTCCCTTTTATCTCCTTAACTATTATAAGATGATCCTGGTATGTATCTGCTTCGTGAACATTGAAGATCTTTTTCTAGGTCCTCCACAGCCTGTGAATCCCCCTAGACCTTTCAAGCATAGTGAGCGGAGAAGAAGATCTCAACGTTTAGCCACCTTACCCCTGCCTGATGATTCAATAGAAAAGGTTTCTTCTCCCTCTCCAGCCACTGATGGGAAACTATTCTCCATCAGTTCTCAAACTCAGCAAGAGTCTTCAGTACCAGAGGGTAATGTATATTGATTTCCTATTAAACCAAATATAAGAGGAGATAAAGAAACAAAAACCTAAGAGATAGAGTATTAGAAAATTAAGGAATTTCTGCTTTTTTCCTTACATCTTTTGGAGTCATGCTTACCTCATTTATTTTGCAAAGTCAAGGGGACTTCAGAAAGTTTGTGAGAAAATGGAATTAAAGTGCAAGTTTATCTTGGTGCAAAAATTTGTGAAAGTCATGCCTAGATTTTTCATAATAGACATTTTACATGAACTTTTTGAAGACCCTGGTGACACTGAGGAATAAAGTACCAGGAAAAGCAAAATTTATTTTTTGCTCGGGGGAAGAGAGAAGGTGGTGTGCCCTTTGTGCCAGGCATTGTTTAACTTACATAACACTTTAATCCGCATCGATATTAACCAAGCCAGTTTTTCTGTGTTAATGAGATATCACATTCTTCATTTTGTATAGTGCCTGACGTTGCACATTTGCCACTTGTGAAGCTGGGGCCTTATCTCCCTCTTGACTTGAGTAATGGTTCAGAAGTTATATCACCACGAGCTACAGATTTCTCTGACCAGAGTGAATGTCCCAGGGTGGAAAAGGAAGATCTGCAGATGCTCACCAATCCTCCTTCCAAAACAGTACCTGATGGGAGAGGAACTCTAACAGCAGCAGGTAAAGAAAAGACTTCCAGAAGCAGCCAGGCATGCTGGACTGGGTATGCCGTGATGTTTAGCTGTGTTATTCTCATTTCTATATAATTCCTTTTCATAAATATTTTTATGTAATGTTTATGGAAGATACAGTTTCTGTGTCTGTTTTAAAGTTCTTTATGTGACCATTTTACTATCATATTCCCTGGACATACTTCTCATTACTGTAATCTACTTCCTTATCTTTGCTACTCTTTTTTTTTTTTGTTAGAGGTCTTTTTTGCTATAGGGCGCATGCACTCGCCAGACAGAGAGAGACAGAGAGACAGAAAGTGAGAAATCACTCCCCAGGGGGGATGGCCACGCCACAATCCCTTTTCCTCCATTCTCCTCGTGGGATCTTGGGCATGTACGCATATGCGCCCAGCGTGAGTTTTAAGCCACCGGGTCCGGGACGCAAACTGTGGTTGACTATGTGGGAGTCCAGCAACATAGCCATTACGCCAACTGGTGGTCCCACATCTTATTTCTAATATACAGAAATTATTAGAGTTAAAAATAATTCTTACTATTAAAGACAGTAAATATTTAATGGTATCAACACTTAGGTTTAAGGATTTTTTTTTTTAAGAGAGATTTTTGCTATAGAGTACATGCGCTCATCAGAGAGATGAAGAGACAGAAAACAAGAAATCACCCCCCAGGGGGTTGGCCACACTGCAAGCCCTTCTCCTCATTTTCTTCTATGGACTTTGGGCTTGCATGCACACATGCCTGGTGTGGTTTAAGCTGCCAGGTCTGGGACTGGAACCATGGTCGACTGGGAGTCCAGTGACATAATAACCATTATACCATCTGCTGGTTCAAGTTTAAGGATTTTAGTAGAACTTACTATTTAAGAAACACTTGATTTAGATTTAGCAGTATACCTATATATTAAGTATAAACAGGGGCAACATCTCCCATTGAATGTGATTTATTGTAAATTTATTTGGGAGGTCTAAAACATGAAATCAGTCATGTTTCATAACACATAGTTTGATGATTTTGTTGTGTTTGTTGCAATCTAAAGGTATTTGGAATATTTTATCAAGTTGATATTTTAAATCTATCAACATGTAAATTCATATTTCCTTTATATAGTTTCATTGTTTTATTTAAAAGTTTTATAGAATTAGAGTGTTATTTAAAAACTACTGAGGGGTGGGATCAGCAGATAGTGTAATGGTTATCTCCCACTTAGTCAACCGTGGTTCGGATCCCAGATCCACTGGCTTAAAAAGCACACTGGGCACACGTGTGTGTGTGTGTGTGTGTGTGTGTGTGTGTGTGTGCGCGCGCGCCCAAAATCCCAAGAGGAGAATGGAGGAAAATGATTGCGGGATGGTCATCCCCTCTAGAAGTTGATTTCTTGCTTTCTGTCTCTGTCTTTCCAGCGAGTGCACAGGTCCTATGGCAAAAAATCTCTCTTAAAAAAAATAATAAAAAGACTAGTGTGTGGGGCCAGGCAGTGGCACAGGGGTGGGTGGTATAACTGTTCCCACAAGGGAAAGATTCTGGATTCATGTTTGGGAACTTCCCTGAGCATGCTAGGTGCACGTGCACTTCCCTGTGACCCAGGCCAGCTGACAGTGGGGGTGGATTGCAGCACAGAGACCCTATTGTGGTGCCAGTCTCTCCGGGTCTATCTTTTTCTCTTCTCTTCGTGTGTGTGTATGCGTCTCTCGTGGAAGAAATAAGTTAAATTCTTTTTTAAAAAGGACTCATATATTTTAAAAAGGCAAATTCTGAAACTTTTCTGCTAAGTTACTTATTTTGAAATTAGATGGGTAAAGTAGTCCTGAGTCGAATCCATTCTGTAATGGAGAAAATCACAAAGCAGTGTCTTTTTTGCAACCAAGGGCATTGGTGACAATTTTATCTAACAATGTCCTTCCTGAAATCTCTTTTTTTTTTGAGAGGTTTTTTTTTTTTTTTTTTTTTTTTTTTTTTTTTTTAGTGG